TCAATCGAGACATTGCTTGACGTGAACGACCTAACAGTGGAAGAGGTGACCGGAAGACTACGTAACGTCGAGCAGCGAAAGAAGAATACCACTTCAGCTGTTGACAAGGAGGGCCGTCTACTCCTCACGGAGGAGGAATGGCTTGCACGCCTAAAGCTCCGCGACAACACCGGCGAGAGCAACAGGTCCTCCTCCAGCCGCAAAGGCGGTAAGAAGCCATGGATGTCTCACGGGCGCACGCGCGAGAAAGATGGGAATCAAAAGAAGGAGTCGACCAATGGCAGGCCGATCCAATGCTCGAACTGTGGGAAGAGAGGACACCTGAGCAGAAATTGCTGGAGCAAGCCAAGGAATAAAGAGAAGGTCGAAAAGGCCCATGTGGCTCAATCCGAGGAGGACGAGCCAGCTCTCTTCATGGTAACTGCATGGGTCCCCAATTTCGATTCCAAATCCGACGACGATGTTGAACCCAAGAAAGAGCTCCAGTTGGGCGTAGCAAAGTTGGCACCAGCTGGGGAGCCAATTCAACTGGAGGAGGAGCGAGTGTTCGCTCAGATCGGCGAGAGGGACGAGCAACACGAGCACCGGCAATGGATCCTTGACACAGGGGCAACAAACCATATGACCGGGGCTAGATCTGCGTTCTCCGAGCTCGACTCGGGGATCCGTGGGACGGTGAAATTCGGCGACGGCTCCGTCGTCGAGATCGAAGGGCGCGGCACCATTCTGTTCATCAGTAAGGGAGGCGAGCATCGCAAGCTGACCGACGTCTACTTCATCCCGAGGCTCAAGGCTAACCTTGTGAGCCTGGGTCAACTCGATGAGACAGGTTGCTTCATTTCCATCGAGCGCGGACTACTCAAAATCTGCGATAATCAACGACGGCTGCTCACGCAGGCAAGGCGCACGACAAACCGCCTTTACGTCCTGGAGTTAGAGATAGACCAACCCGTTAGCCTCTCGGCCAAGACCGAAGAGGTATCTTGGAGGTGGCACGCAAGGTACGGACACTTAAACTTTCCTGCCCTAGAAAAGCTACAGAAGAAGGAGTTGGTGCACGGCTTGCCAGAAATCAAAGGCGTGAACAAGCTGTGCGATGGGTGCCTCATCGGCAAACAGAGGCGCACACCCTTTCCGTCCCGAACAGCCTACCGAGCCGATGAGCCATTGGAGCTTGTACACGGCGATATTTGCGGGCCCATCAAGCCGGCGACCCCAGGTGGTAAGAGTCTCTTCCTCCTATTAGTCGATGACAAAAGCCGCTTCATGTGGCTGACCCTGCTGCAAGCGAAAAGTGAGGCGGCAGAGGCGGTTAAGCGCATTAAAGCGCGAGCGGAGGCCGAATGTGAGAAGAAGATGCGAGTGCTGCGTACAGACCGAGGCGGAGAATTCACCTCGGCAAGTTTCAGTAAGTACTGCGACGAGATCGGCATACAACGGCACCTAACGGCGCCCTACTCCCCCCAACAGAACGGAGTGGTAGAGCGCCGAAATCAGACCATTGTCGGGACAGCGAGGTCATTGTTGGTGACGGCCGGGATGCCTGGGAGATTCTGGGGAGAGGCAGTAATGACGGCTGTCTATCTCCTCAATCGGTCACCAACCCGAAGCCTCGACGGAAAGACGCCATATGAGGCCTGGTACAACAAAAAACCAACAGTACATCACTTTCGCGTGTTCGGCTGCGTCGCATACATGAAGGTAACACGTCCCCATCTCGCCAAGCTCGATCCCAGGGGGCTGAAGGTCGTCTTCATCGGCTACGAACCCGGGAGCAAGGCGTACAGACTCTATGATCCTGTAGGGGGGCGAGCTCACGTGTCTCGCGACGTCGTCTTCGACGAAAACACCTTCTGGCAGTGGAATGACGTGATCGAGGCAGACCGTGATCCAAATCAATTCACGGTGGAGTACCTCGTCACCGAGCCTGAAGAAGGAGGAGCCCAGCATCAGGAGACGTCACCGCCGCCAGCAGGTGCACCACCTGAACCAGTGGAATTCGCAACACCACGGACTGCGGATTCGACGCTGGATGCCGATCACGATACTGATCTGGAGGCTAGGTATCGGAGGATGGATGACCTAGTGGGAGGAGGTGAACCACCTGGACTAGCAGCGCGCGAACTCGAAGAAGTGGCCGAACTACATGCTGTCAGTGCAGATGAACCAAACACCTTCGCCGAAGCAGAAAAGAACCCGTGCTGGCGGAAGGCAATGCAGGAGGAGATGACATCCATCACTGAGAACCAGACGTGGAGTCTAGAGGATATGCCACCGGGACACCGAGCCATAGGGCTCAAATGGGTCTTCAAACTGAAGCGCAACGAAAAAGGAGAAGTTGTGAAGCACAAGGCTCGTCTGGTGGCGAAGGGCTACGTCCAGAAGCAAGGAGTGGACTTCGAAGAGGTATTTGCGCCAGTAGCAAGGTTAGAATCCGTTCGTTTCTTGCTAGCAATTGCAGCACATCACTCTTGGGAGGTTCACCATATGGACGTAAAGTCTGCTTTCCTTAACGGAGAGTTGAAGGAGACCGTCTATGTTCGACAACCACCTGGCTTCCTGGATAACGACAACCCTAATAAGGTTCTGCGCCTGCACAAAGCACTCTACGGGCTTCGACAAGCCCCACGAGCCTGGAACGCGAAGCTCGACGGTACCCTACTGTCACTGAATTTCAAACGTTGTGCCTCTGAGCATGGCATGTACACGTACGGCCACGGGTACCCTACTGTCACTGAATTTCAAACGTTGTGCCTCTGAGCATGGCATGTACACGTACGGCCACGGCAAAAAGCGACTGATTGTGGGAGTGTCGTTGTGCCTCTGAGCATGGCATGTACACGTACGGCCACGGCAAAAAGCGACTGATTGTGGGAGTGTACGTCGACGACCTCATAATCACTGGAGGCGACGTGGGAGTCCTCGGAAGCTTCAAGAAGGCGATGTCGAAAAACTTTGAGATGAGCGATCTCGGTGTGCTCAGCTACTACCTCGGCATCGAAGTGCAACAGAACTCTTCCGGCATCTCCATCTGCCAAAGTGCATACGCGAGGAAGCTGCTGGACACAACTGGGCTTGTGGACAGTAATCCTACCAGGACGCCAATGGAGGCCCGACTTCAACTAAGGAAGGCCGGCACTACGACGACAGTCGACTCCACCAATTACCGCAGCATTGTCGGGAGTCTGCGCTATCTGGTAAACTCTCGTCCTGATCTTGCTTATTCTGTTGGCTATGTGAGCAGGTTTATGGAAGCACCTAGGGAGGAGCATCTAGTGGCTGTCAAGCGCATCCTGCGCTATGTAGCCGGAACCAGAGGTTGGGGTGTGAGATATTGTGCAGGGAGCGGAAAGGAGAAACTCAAGCTGGTCGGCTACAGTGATAGTGACATGGCCGGTGACGTTGATGATCGTAAGAGCACCAGCGGAATGATCTACTTTCTCTCAGGCGGCGCGATCTGCTGGCAATCAACAAAACAGAGGGTGGTTGCTTTGTCTTCCTGCGAAGCAGAATACATCGCCGCTTCGATGGCAGCAACACAAGGGATCTGGCTTGCACGACTAATGGAAGAACTCATCGGGAGAGAAAGTGATCCACCAATGCTATACGTAGACAACAAAGCTACGATCTCCCTGATCAAAAATCCAGTTTTGCACGACCGGAGCAAGCACATAGAAATCAGATTCCACTACATTCGAGAATGTGCAGATCGATGGCTCATCAAGATTGATTTCATCCGAACAGAGGAACAACTTGGAGACATTTTCACCAAGTCCCTGGCGCGGGTGAAATTCGAAGAACTACGCTCAAAGATCGGAGTTCAAATAATAAGGTACAGCTTTTAGGAGGAGATTGTTAAATAAAAGCCATTCCTTATTTAGTTACATCTGAATTCACACGAATGGAGAAGCGTGATTATAGGAGCCATTGTTTTGGCAATTTGGGCGAAGTCTTCGTCCACTTCTCCTATTTTTGTATAATTAGTTTTTCTATTTTTGTAATTAAATTTGTTATTTAAACCGTTCAACTGAAGTAAAATAAAACATCGAGTCTTCAGCATTATCAGTGAATCTCTCACTCTCTCTCCTTTTACTTCCGCTAATTTTTCTTTCGAACAAACTTTCGGCCAATTTTTCGTCGACTTCCGAATTGCCAGAGTCAACAGGTTTGACGGAAATGGTGGAACCTCAAGTGGGTGCGGAAGACCCTTTTGTTTCAGTAATATTGCAAAAGTCATTCATTGAGGTGAATGAACAAGGCACAGACGCTGCAGCTGTTTCAGTTTCTCGTATGCTTGGCCGTTGTCCGTCTGATCTCACTGTCAGAATCGACTTTGTTGCTGACCATCCATTTTTATATGTCCTCAGAGAAAATACGACAGGAACTTTGCTTTTTGTTGGGCAGCTGCTAAATCCTCTTGTCTCTAAATAATGCATTTATTATTATTAAGCATGTGCTAGCAGGTTCAACCTTAGTAACAACGAAGATCTTGTCTGTCTTTCGTCTTTTTAGTTTGATAGGAGAATGATCCAACATATTTAGACAACCTTCTACTTCTATTTACTTTCTATTTTTTTTTTTTTACTAAAAAGAGTTTAACTTAACTTATTGCTATTTTGAATTAGTTATGTAATATATGATATTTCTAATGTTTCCAAATTAGAGTAACTTTTTGAATTAGTTATGGAATATAAGACATTTGTAATCTTCAAGAATATTTTATTACTTTTTGTTGTTTAAGTGCAACTTATTTATAGTTTGAATTAGTTATGAAGATAATATTTTATTAAGAAATATATCTTAGATATTCTTTCAATAGTAGCTTATTTTATTCTTAAGATAGTTAGTTTATATTTCCTTATTTTTGTAAATATTAGTGGGTATCTGTTGTTGAAACTTTAATTCCAATTCTTTTTCTTATTTTTCTTATTTTTAAATCTGTATTCTTTTAGTTGAGTAATAATATTTTCATATCCATTCACATTTTTTAGTGGTAGATATTTATCTCTTATTAACATATTAATTAAATTTTAACTTTATTAATATTAAAATTACTAAAATTAAGAATATTATTGAAAGGAGAAGTCTCAAGAAGACAATAAATTTATAAGTAAGAATACTATGTGTTTGAAAAAATTGAAAGTTTATTTATGTTTCATGTTGACAATATTATACCATTAGTAAATTTATTGGTAAAAAAAACATAAATAAACTCATATCTATACAGGCTAGTAAATTGAAAGTAAATAGAAGCGGGTAATTTTAGTACTAGTCCATTTATTGGTAAACTTAGTTAGTAACTAATAACTTATTGGTAAACTTAGCCACTAACTAATAACCAACCAAATTGATACAAGCTAGTGGATTTTAACATATTGATACAAGCTAGTAAATTTATTGGTAAAAAAAATTAATGTTAGGAAAATAATAAAAAAGATGAAACCTCATCTAACCATCACGCAAGCATATTCTCCACGCGCAACGCACGAGAGATGCGGGTCAAAAGCCAAGTTCTGGGACCAAGGCGCTCTGTTTTGTCGGTCTCAACTCTTCGTCGATTTCACGCTTTCATTAAATTCTCAACTACGGAAGAACTTGACTTCGAAATTCGCGATTCATCGATCTCGAACCCGTTTTCCTGCTGCCGGAAATGGACATCAGAGAAACAATTAGAAGCCATGGCGACGTTGCTCTGGCCATCACCAAGCACCTTCTCCAACACGAAGCCAAGGCCTCCAACGTTATCCTCTCGCCCTTGTCAGTCCATGTGCTTCTCAGCCTTGTCGCTGCTGGTTCCAAGGGCGCCCCGCTGGATCAACTTCTGTCCTTCCTCAAATCGAACTCCACCGACAATCTCAACTCCTTCGCTTCTCAAATCGTAGCCACGGTCTTCGCCGATGCGTCTCCCAGCGGCGGACCTCGCCTCGCCTTTGCAAATGGCGTCTGGGTCGACCAATCGCTTTCTCTCAAGCCTTCTTTCCAACAGGTTGTCGACACTGTTTATAAGGCCTTGCTCAGTCAAGCCGATTTCAAGACTAAGGTGATTGCTACACTCTTCTTTCTTAGGCTGTTTGATTTCGTTCTCATAATTGGAATTAAATTGGGAATCATTTAGGGCTACGTTTTTCTATTGACATTTTTTGTTCGTTCTTACTGCTTACATCTTTTCTTTTGCTGATGCCTCTGCTGAATATGTAATCTAACATAGAACATGAAAATTTAAGGAAAATTATTTGGAAAGTGTTTAATGATGTTGTTTATCTTTTCTTTGGTTGAATTGAAAGGCCGTTGAAGTGATTTCAGAAGTGAACTCATGGGCTGAAAAACAGACTAATGGACTTATCACAGAGCTTCTTCCCCCTGGATCAATTGATAGTCTCTCTAAGCTCATCCTCGCGAATGCACTCTACTTCAAAGGGGCATGGGAAGAGGAATTTGATGCTTCAAAAACAGAGAAGCGTGAGTTCTACCTTATTGATGGGAAGTTTGTTGAGGTGCCCTTTATGACCAGCAAGAAGAAGCAATATGTAGCCGCCTTCGATGGATTTAAGGTTCTTGCATTGCCATACAAACAAGGATCTGACCCACGTCGTTTTTCTATGTACATTTTTCTCCCAGATTCCAAGGATGGTTTGCCACATTTGATTGAAAAGTTAGATTCCCAGTCCGGGTTCATCGACCGCCACATTCCATATGAAAAGGTCAAAGTGGGGGAATTCAAGGTTCCGAAGTTTAAATTTTCCTTTGGGATTGAAGTTTCCAATGTTTTAAAGGGGTTAGGATTGGTGTTACCTTTCACTGAAGGAGGGTTGTTGGAAATGGTGGACTCCCCATTGGCTCAAGGCCTTCATGTTTCAAAGATATTCCATAAGGCGTTTATTGAGGTTAATGAAGAAGGCACAGAAGCTGCGGCTGCTTCAGCTGCTGTCATAGCATATAGGAGCATGGCTTTTGGAGATATAATCGATTTTGTTGCCAACCGGCCGTTCTTGTTTTTGATCAGGGAAGACAAGACAGGAACCTTGCTTTTCACTGGACAGGTGTTGAACCCTCTTGTCCATTGAATTGTTACACAATAGAGTGGCGCTGGAGAATAAACCTAAATAGCTGTAACAATGTAGTAACGCTTACTTTTTGCTGCTGAAGGCATGTTTTAGCAGCATGCCCTTTGAATATGATATGTAGTATCTATATCTGGTTTCATATGGTGTTCTTACGGTGTTCTTGCTTGTTTTACACAATGGAAGCTTGTGTTCTGTTTGTGGGAGAGTGTTTGATCTCTTTTGAAAATTGTATTTAGTTTCACTTAGTTTTCTTCCTCTTTCTTAAGGTGGACAACCTAACATATGAACTCTTAACTAAATTCTAAAAACAATTTATTTTTTTTGTTAATTTTAAAAACTTGGGCATAAATTCTAAAAACATAGGAAAGAAAGTAAATCACAAAATCTGAAAAATGTAAATGAGGTTCATAGTTGAATATGTACAACCTTGGTAAAAATAAGAACGAAAAATAAATTTTATTCTCTCCTGATCAAATGGAGAAGGGCTCCGAGCATTCAAGGATGGTGTGCCTGAATTGTGAGATCCCACGTAGATTAGAGAAGAGAATGAAATATTTATTATAAGAGTATGGAAACCTCTCCCCTGTAAATCTCGAGGAAAAGTCCTGAAAGGGAAAACCTCTATATCTCTGTTAATTTTTTTTTTTTCATATAGTAATTTTAATTCCCACATTATTATTATTAAAAATTATAATTATTGAATATTTTAATTTTATGAAATTGATTGAAAGGAGCAACAAGTCTTTTGAGAAATCAATATATTATTAATACAACTGAATAAAAGGAAAAAGAAAGGGCCGAGTCTTTGACTCGGTATCTGCGACTCAGTAAATAATAGAAAACCTGGAGATGACGTGGCACGTGATGTGAACGCGCCAGAAAGACCAATGCCATCTGTATTCTACCTCTCCCCTCCCCGTCGGACGCGTCAACGACACTCTCCAATTTCCAAGGTCGTGTATCCCACGCGCTATCGTTGGTGAAACAATACAATTTTTGGCCATACCCTCCATGACTTTTTGATCCCATCCGTACGCACACGCTGTCTTTGGACTTACCAACTTTGACCTACTTCCATAATTTAACAATTTCCAAATTTTAATACTTTTTTTAAGTCAACATGTCGTTTTATTAGGAGCCTAGCAAATAAGTTGTCGTCGCTCCCATATCTGAATTTCCCATTATTGATTTTTCAAATCCCAAAACCTTTTATTTTAAGAAAAAAACGAAGGAACAAGAAAAATAAAAATAAAATTAGGCGATTCTTAAGAGAATCAAATCAGCGATAAATCTGGTTAAAGCCATTTAGGGACTTTTTTCCTTTCTTTTCGTTTTTTACTTTTTCTGGGGAAAATAAATGGAAAAGGTCGGTGAGATTATGCACATGTAACCGGCGGGCTGCGGCACCGGCCTGGAAACCGCCATCAGCTTAGCTAGATGCCTTTCTTTCACAAAAGCGCTTCAAATTCTCGGCTTCAACAGAAGGCGGCCGATTCTAATTTTTCCGTTGTTCAAACCGAATCGCTCGTTCAGCGGCGGCTCACCAGACAGAGGAAGCTCCGGCATCTTACGGATCGAGAAATTGGCGTTGAACTCCCCCGATCATTTCCCGATTCCCCTGATTTATCTGCAAAGCCTAGATCGCCTCTTGGGGGTTCCGAACGTTGGTCCTCGCCGGCTTTGCCCCAGCCTTTGCCTCTGCCGGAGTTATTCCCGGTTCGGAATCCAGAGTCCGATTCTTGGTTTTCTGGCCAAGGCCGTGTGGTCTCGCCTATTGAAACTCCTGTCCGGTGAGCTTTGTCATGTTTTGACTTGACTTTTGCCCTACTAACTGATGACATTTTCGTTTAACTTCCTTCGGTTTCTGTTATCTTTTTATTCTATATCGTAAAGGGGAAAGAGGGTTTTGTTCAGTTTTTGTTATAATCTGTTTCTGTTAGTAATTCTGCTATTAAAACTGTTAGGAAGAGCTCTGATCGTGCAACAACGAACGTAAATGGAGGTCTGGGCAACAATCAAAGGCGAGTTGCTACAGATTGTAAGTTGGAAGTTGTTAATGGCAATACAGGAGGAACTGGGGCTACCACATTTACAAGCCCTCATAGTCCCTCTGTGAACTCAGGTAAATCCCTTTCGATTAAGGAGTTTGTTTTTGGTTGTTTGGATCAGCCTCCAAACAGCAAAGTCAGGGGATCCCCAACTCATCCCAGTATTCAAAGAGGTAACTACAGTTTGACACCTAAGACTTCGTCGTCAAAGAGTGCCCCAACAAGCATTTTACCGAGTCCGACCGCTAGCCCACGAAGATCATATACTGGAGATCTTTTCGTTTCTGGTTTGCCTCGCCATGAATATCAGGAATCTCCT